CCGACGGCTCCCGGGGGAGAGTGGGGCCTTGTGGGTGCCGGCGTGGGTGCATCTGAACTTGGATCGGACGCCGAGCCTCAGGCTGGAGGCGCGTTCAGGCCCAGGAGGGGCGAAGGGGCCCCCGGAGAGCAACCCCCAAGCTCGCCAAGGCTGGACCTCTATTTGAGGAGCGGTCTCACCTGGGAGCGGTGACGGCGTGTGAGTCATGGGCCAGGCCCCCGAGCCCAGGGGAGGTGGCGATGGTGGCTCCCGGCCCGAGATGTGTCAGAAGCGCGATGAGCATCTTGAGTGATGCACAGTTTATGTAATTATGCGGGACAGGGCTGCCCGGGGTGTGTGCGAGCCAAACTGGAAAGGGGAGCAGCGTGCTCGGGTCTTCTAGCTCCCTGGCTGCACCCCAGACTCGCAGAGGAGTCCCATCTCTCAGGACCCGTGTCCAGACCAGGGCGGGGCCGCCATCGGCACCTGGGCTCCTGCACGTGAGGACCAGCGGGGACAGCCTGACCCTCTCCACCCACCAATCCACCCAGGGGAGTGAAATGCTCATGCTTTCCTCAGACTCTCTTCTCTGGCTTTATTCCATGACACCCTCCGTGCCCCCCCCCACCCGCCTCCACCCAACATTCCTCAACTTAATTTACTTTAGTTTTTAATTTTTTAAATTAAATCAACTGCATATTGTTTGGAACATCTTAGAGATTTTCAAAAATTGGAATGGCATGTCAGAAACATTGCAGAGCCAGGTTTGGGGGCCCACATGACCCCCCCTGACTCCATCTTCACTCATCATAGGCTGGGAGGTGGCTGCAGTTGGCACGCTCTTTTTGCTTTCCCTGGGGGGACAAGCCTTTGTGACCGGTACCCCCACAGCACAGCGGTTTGGAGGCACCTGTTGCTGGGGGGGGGGTTGTGGAATCTGGCACATGCCAGAGGGCCAGGGGGGGACCAGGGCCTCAGTGAGGCTCCGCTGTGGAGCTGCTCACAGAAGTCAGGTCCCGATGCTAGTTACACAAGGGCTCGGTCTGCATTCCCACCCACCGGGGGCGTGAGACCGCGTGTGTCCTGGCCTCACCGCACACCTGCTGTGTGACCCGGCGCAGGTTTGGCAACCTCTCTGTTTGAGCATGTTTGAGAGGTGTGTCGGGATTCCCAGAGGCGAGATGATGAATGTGTGTCCCTCCAGAACAGAGCAACCACAAGAACCTGATCCCAGGACGAGTCACACTGAGGAGGACCAGGACCAGGCCTCCTGGAAGCCAGGAGGGGAGCATGAGTCAGAAACAAACTACCTGCCTGCCAGCCAAGTCACTCTCCTGCCCGAGAGATGCTCAGGGGTGGGAGGCAGGATGTAGGACCCAAGCTTGGGTGATTCCTCTCCTATCTCCGGAGTCTTGCATTTTAGATGTTTGCCATCCAGGTCATAGGTGGTGCTGGTGGGCTGGACAACAAGGGCTATTAGTGTTCCTTGGCCCATGTTGGAGGCCCCTAAGGTGGTGCTGGCATCATCGAGCCTTCTTCAGTTATGGCAAAGGGACATTCTCGCATCCCCTCCTCTCTAATCCTTCCAGTCCAGCCAGAACTAGACTGTTTCAGCCAGCTGGTCAGTAAGACTCCCCCAAGTAGTCCTGAGGGCCCAGGCTGGAGACCAGCCACAGAACCAGGAGACTGGAATCAGAGGAGAGAAGAGAGACAATATCGAGGAGGAGGATGTCCCCATCCACTGAATCAGGGTGGGACAGAGGCCTCCCTCACCGCACCCAGCCATGCCACTGCTCTCCCAGTTGACTATGGAGGGACCCTGGGGAATGGCATTCTGCTCTCTCCCAGTGACTGGGCAGTAAGGGCTGTGGGAGGAAGAAGGAACAAGAGGATGTGCCCAGGGGTGAGCCGCAGAGGCAGAGACGGGCAAGAGTTGGTTTTTCACCTTTTCTTGTGTCCTTTGTTACATTGAACTTGGTATTATATGACTTCGTGGCCCTCTGCCAAGAACGGACTGGGTTCAGAATCTCCCATCTGGATCTTTTGAACTCTAGGTTGTCTGAAACATGGAGTTCTAGCATAACAGACCATTAAATGGTTCCGTGCATCCCTTCATGTATTCATTCGTTCATCAGTGCCAGAAAATTCTTACCTGTTTTTGCTTAAATTTTTTTTATTTACTTATGATAGTCACAGAGAGAGAGAGAGAGAGAGAGAGAGAGAGAGGCAGAGACACAGGCAGAGGGAGAATCAGGCTCCATGCACCGGGAGCCCGATGTGGGATTCGATCCCGGGTCTCCAGGATCACGCCCCGGGCCAAAGACAGGCGCCAAACCGCTGCGCCACCCAGGTATCCCACCTGTTTTTGCTTAAAACACTGCCTCTACTCCACTTCCTCTCTCTCCTCCCTCAGGGATAACATTAAACCTATGTTAGACCCTCTCTTCCTCCTTATCGCACATCGTCTCTTTCACATGCTCCTTTTGTCTCTACCTGCTACATTTGTGATCATTTTTCTGACTTCTCTAATTCCCTTCTCAGCTGTGTTAACTCTGCTGTTAAATCCACCTATCGGGTTTTTTATTTTGGTTATTGTCATTTTCTTTTCTAGAGATGAAATGAAATGAAGATGAATGAATCTTTTTTCAGATCTGCGATGTCACTTTCTAACAGATTCCCATTCCCCGAAATTATTTTTAAGCGTGTCTTATTTCTGGAAACATGACTTGCATCGTTCCTTTATAGTCAGTAATTTGCAGTCTGAAGGGTCTGTTTCTGTTTCCTGTTGATTCTTCTGGTTTTATCTCACAGTGTCTTCTTTTCTTGTGTGTCTGGTCATCTTTGACTGTGTGCTGGTCATCGTTTAGAAAGAAAAAATGTTGGAAAGAAAAATGTGAGATTTAGGACAAAAGCACCTTACACCAGAGAGCACATTGAGGAATACTGCTAATCCAGGACCACTTTAATCAACCTTAAGGCTTGAGTTTCCCCAACCCATCCAGGTGAGAACTTAGATTGCAAGATCGTGGGATCCCTGGGTGGCACAGCGGTTTGGCGCCTGCCTTTGGCCCAGGGTGCGATCCTGGAGACCCGGGATCGAGTTCCATGTCGGGCTCCCGGTGCATGGAGCCTGCTTCTCTCTCTGCCTGTGTCTCTGCCTCCCTCTCTCTCTCTCTCTCTCTCTCTGTGTGACTATCATAAATAAATAAAAATTTTTAAAAATTGCATAAAAAAAAAGATTGCAAGATTGTATGAGGGCTGATCTACTTCTGGTTCACCCTTATCCTGAGGGTGTAGCCCTTTGGAGTCCCACATTCATGGGAGATGGTATCTTATTATATGCCCCACCTGTGTGTGCCCTGGGGTTTGATAGCTATCTCTTTCATTCCACGAGGCTGTCAAAATAGAACTCAGTTTCACTGGAATCAGAAAACACCTCAATAAAAAAAAAAAAAAAGTGGCTCTTCCTCTCACCTACCTGTCTGGATTCCTCTTCCTCTTCTGTTTTGGCCGGCAATTATACTGCCAAGCCTTCAGTGCTTAGAATAAGTTGTTTTTTTTTTTTAATTGTGTTGTTGCATCGTTAGCTGATTTTCCTGCAAAGTAGGCCTAAATAACCTAGCCTGCCATACTGGGAGCTAGATGTTCTCCCTTTAGTCACTCAGTGAGTATTTTGGAGTACCTACTATGTGCCAGGCACTGTGTTGAGGCAAAGAAGGAAACCAGACAGACAAAGCGGGCTCTTGGGGTGCTCACAGACTCTCTAGAGAGACAGACAATAAACAGACAGTTACTCAATTGATTAGTTAATTCCAGTTGTGACACATATTGTGGAGTAAGGAAGTTCAGGAGTGATGAGAAGGAGACTTTGCCTGCTTTGTGGACTCGAGAAAGTTCTTGGGAACGTGACTTTTAAGCTGAGATCTGAAGGACCTGCAGGGATTTGCAAGGCATTGGGTGTTGGGTCAAGAGAAATCCAGGCAGAGGGAGTGGCAAACACAAACCTTAGAGGTGGGAAGGAACATGGCATTCTAGGTATTGGAAAGTGTCCAGTGTGGCCACAGTGCGTGGCACAGGGTAGGAGGTGGAGGACTAGAGGTGAGGCTGGAGGTCAGCTGGGTTTGACTAGCAGGCTCTCACGAGCAAGGTTTCAGACTTTGGTCAACATCCCAAGAGCAACAGGATCACTGCACTAAAGTGTGGCAGGTGGGTTATAGTGGGCAACGGGTACTTGTGAAGCCAGTGAGGGAACTTAGTGGCACAGAGATGAATGGATTCAAGAGATTGCTTATAGGATGAGAAGACTTTCCACCAAGCTTGACCACAGAATTGTCCCAGAGTACCTTACCCACCCATGTGGATTATTACTCCTGGATCAACACCATACCTATTCTCTGCCCTGGGAGTCTGGCTTGTATAGGCCACACCAAGGGCCTCTGTGCCTCTGGCTCCCTATTGGGTTTGGCCAGTGGTAGGCACCAGTAGATCGGGGGGAGGAGAAGAGAGAGGCTGGGCATTTCTTCACAGCTCTCTGCCTACTCCAGCGCCCCATCTGCACACCCCCAAGGCTATGATCCCTGTTGGGCAGCCTGTCCTCTGCCCTCCATGGGCCCAGTTCTCATGGGGCTCCGGCAGCCCTGGTGCCTTGCTCTGCCCCTTGAGCCCCATGATGGTGACAGCTGCTGCTGTGGCTCATCTCTGGGGACCTCAACATCCCTTCCTGATTCCTTCAACCCTCATCACACCCCTACAAATGGCTCCTTTGTTAACACCCCTTCACTGGAACCGTCAGGAGTGAGCTTGGTTTTCTGCCAGGACCCTGAATGATCACCAAACTCAGGAGGGATTTTTTTTTTTTACTTTAAAGAATCTGGGAGGCCAATCTGTCTGGGAACCCTGGAGGGGGGCCAGTCCCTCGTGGCAGCCAAAGGGGTGGTGTCAGAGCCCACATGAAGGCCCGCTGCTATCTGTGTTCCGTAAACAAACACCCGCGTGTGTGCACAGTGAGCCAGAGCCAAATGACAAACACGGCTGTGACAATTTTATAGAGCCCCAGTATCAGAGAGGACAGAGGTAATTAGGCAAATTATAAACATAGCTGGTGTCTTCTATCTGGCCACACGATCCGGGTGTGCGTCTGCTGGGGTGCTGTTTGGCATCTGCATTCGAGTTCTGGTTCCAAACACATCTTAAAAGACATGTCCGAGTGATTCAGGTCAAGGGCGTCTGATTTCTGGGGTGCCCGGTGCTGTGCGTGGTTCCAGGAAGGACCCCGACTCGCTTGCCTGCCAAGCTCCATTCTTTCCCTCCCCTCCGCCTTTTGCGTCCCCACCTCCTGAGGGGAAGTGTGCTTCCCTTCACTTTCACTTTGGAGATGGGAGCTGAGAACACAAGCGTCTACTCGGGGGTTGACAGATGCCAGAGATCTGTGTTCCCAAGGCCTGTGGGCTCGTTCCCTCTCACTCCCCGCCTGCCTCCGGGCTGGGACCTCAGGCACAGAGCTGAGCTCGGGGAGGAAAATGAAACTTGACCCAATGGCAGAGGTTGCCTGGGTAGGTGGGTGGTCAGGGAAGGTCCCGGAGGAGCCAGTGCTCAGTGGAGACCAAGGTGATGAGAAAGATCCAGGCACTCAAAAGGCTTCTCTCTAGGTAAAGGAACAGAGCAAAGTCCCAGGGGAAGGCCAGCGTGGCTGGATGAGGCGGAGGGCCAGAGACCAGCTCCTGGGGGCCTTGGAGTGGGGCGGGCCCCCTGCCTGGTTTGCTTGGAGACTGTCCTCGTTTGCTCCCACTGTTCCAGCATAATCGTCTACAGCATCCCTTTTGACTCACAGAAAGTGTCTCTGATGGCTTAATAAATGACACAGTTACCCTACTTCTAGGGCACTGAAGGAGAAATCTAGGTTTCATGTGTCTTAACTGCAATGGGAAGCCATAGGAGGGTTCCAAGCAGGTGAATGAGAATACCAGACTTCCTTCAATCACCAGATAGTGACTGAGTGCTGGGGCCACCTTCGCTCAGGGCCACAGCGACGAGCCACCCCCGGCACAACTTCTGCCCTCCTGGAGCTTACATTCCAGTGCTAGGAATGCTGACGAACACCAGACAAAATCAGCCGATTCTCCACCATTCTTAGCCCCCTGGATGGGTCCAGGTGCCTGTTAGACAGACAGAAAGAAGGAGGCAAAGGACGGCCAGGTGGGTTCTTTTTCTAAATTTAATCATTGGAAAACCATAAGCTGCTTCCCATGAAGTCTGCTCCCAAATTCACCCTGGAGGGTGGTCTCCTCAGGGAGCCACACCTAGGGTGGGTCTCCCCTGACCCCCTCTCACCCACACATCCAGGCTTCTGTGGTCAGTGAGCCCAGCTGTGTGCTGGGCCCTCCTGCCGGGCTAGGCCTCAGCTCTAGGTAACCGGTCATCCACGCTTGTAGAGTCCCAGCCTGCATGGCCTAAGCAGCCAGGAGCACGTGATCCTGGCACATCTCACCAAAATTCCTGCCTCTGTGGCCGGGGCCCAGGCATAGAGCTGAGTGCAACCAGGAAAACAAACCATGAGGGGTGTGGCTTCAGGCATGGCTGGATCCATCAGCCAGACAATGTCATCGAGAGTCCTCTGTCACTCCGGCTCCTGGTTTTGCCATCCTTTGTGCCAGCTCGGTCTCCTGTTGGAAGTTTCCAGTAACACAAAGCCTCCCAGCTGACACCCGGCAACCCAGAACAGAGCTCCAGCTTCTGAGCCGTTTCATCTGAAGTCCTGGAATTGGGTTCTGTTGGACCATAGGCTCATCCCTGGACCAGCCACTGGACCCAGGAGGATGGAGGAGGCCAAATGGCCAATCCTGAGTCATGTCCTTCCTGCCCCCCACTCCCAGCACACAGTTTGGAAGAGGGTGGGCCCCACCTGCACTGCATGGAATGGGAGCCGGGGAGGGGAGGTTCTCCGAGGGAAATCGGGGTGCTGTTGCTGGAATGAGAGAGAACGAGGCAGGAGGCAGAGCTGGTGTCCAGTGTACCGGCCACCGGCCCTGGGAAGAAGCGGAACCTGTGCAGGATGAGCCTTCTTTACCGTCGCTTCCAAAGGAGAAAGCAAGTTCCCGACGCCGGTGGAGGAACGTGCTCGGTTTCTGGGATGGGCCAATGTGCTTCAGATCCCACACTGGTTCCGACGTCTGCCCTGCCTCGGGCTGCCAGCAGTCTCTCCTCGCGGGCGACATCCGTCCCCTGGGCCCCAGGCTGTCCCTGGATCTGTGACCCCAGCCCACCGAGGCCGTCCTGCAGGGGACCAGGAAAAGACTCCAGAGGGGCTCTAGGCACAGCCTCTCCCCTATTGGTCCCACCCAACACCTGCCTGGGAGGAGAGGAGGGGCGAGAGCTGTAACCTGAGGCCTTGGAAGCCAGGGTCCTGTCCCCTGTGGGCCCCTGGAGCTCCGTGGCCCTAGCCCTTCAGAGCTGGTGCGAGGAGTGCGTCTGGGTGGGGGGACTCGCTGGCCATGGCGAGGTTAGGGGAGGGCCCCCTGCCCTTCTGGCCTTGGGGAAGGCTTCCAAGGGAACCGGTTGCCCCCTGTGGCCTTCAGCACCTGTACCCAAGGATGCTGCTTGATGGTAGGTGCCACTGGGCACCAATGGCACGCAGGTGCTCTCCTAAGTCCTTGCCTCCCGTCAGCTGCTCTAGGGGGGGTCCTGCACCAGCCGGTCCCATCAAATGTGGGGTGGGAGGCTCCCCGAGGACCTCTGGACCTTACCCAGATTCTCAGATTGTGAACGGTGAGAGGAGGGCCCACCATGCGGCCACCACCCTTCACAGCCTCACTCCTGCCCCAAAGGTTGGGAGGTGGGGTTAGGCAGGGAGAAGGGAGAGGCCCCGGAGGTGAGAAGCAAGGCCTCGGAAGCAGCCACAGCACTCACCTGGTGGGAGGGCGACAGCCCCCAGCTCAGGGAAGGAGGGGGCTGTGGCGCCCCGGCCGGCAGGCAGGGAGCCCCGCCAGGGACCAGGAGGGGGGCTCCCTCTCAGTGTCTTCATGCCACGAGATGTAAAATAATCCCCTCGGCTCAGAAAAACACCATTTTATGGCTGTCTGACTCATTTCCCACAAAGCTAGGTTCACCCCCCCACCCCACCCCACGTGTAGAGCTTTTGTTTTGAAAAATAAAAAATATGTTGAAAATTTCAAGATGACTTTTAGCCATAAATAGTTCCCTTCCTCACCCTAGTCCCAGGCCCCCCTCACCTAATTTCCCAAATGCTGGCTGCCGGAGCCTTGAGGGGGACCCGGTCCAAGTGGGTGTGAGATGACTCTGGGCAACACGGCCCCCCGGGGGCCAGGCCAGCAGATGGACGCTGGACACCGAGGTGGCCGAGGGGCCCTCCGGGGAGGTGGGCCTCCAGGCATCTGCTGCAGGGCCCCTGACTCTTCGGTTCTGGGGTCCCCTGTGGGACCCACTCCTAGCCTTGTAGCCTCTTCAGGCCTGGGTCCCCTGTCACGGCTTCCAGGACGCAGGTAATGCCTGCGGGGGTCTCCACCGGACGCTCTAGGCCAAGGGGAGCTCCACTGGTGACCTCGGACACCCAGCTGGGCTGCACCCCCAGGCCTGCTGCTGCAGTGGTCTCCCCAGGTTGGTGAGGAGTAGCACCGAGTCCCACTACCCCTGCAGCCCCACAGTGAAGCATAGGGGTCCCCGGGCCCCCCGACACATCGGGATTTTCGGTTGCCTGCCACATTCTGGGGCTTGTCCTCCTAGCTCCCCCCGACTCTTCCATTCCTTTAATTTCCCAGCAGTCCCAGGCCACGGGTAGTGGCATCCCCATTTCTCAGGCGGGAAGCAGAGCACTGGACAGCACATGACCCGTGTCAGCTGAGGGAAGCCTGAGCGTGGGCTAGCGGGCAGCCTCACGCTTCCTGCTGACTCCCCAGCCCAGGAAGAGCGCCCAGGTCGGAAGCCCACGCTGGGTGGCAGGGCCGTCCCAGGAGGTCCAGTGGGTCCTAGACCCACCTGGAGGACACGCTGCCCACAGAGCCGGCCTCCCGCTCCCACAACTGCTGCAGCTGGGTGCCTTTGAGGCCCTCCACGCTGCACCCGGGTGGCCCACATATCACCCCCCCATCTTCCCAGAGGACAGGCTCTAGAAGCTTCCTGAGGGGCGTCAAGGGAGGGCTGATGGCCTGCAGCCAGGCAGGGGCCATGCCAGCCTCCACTGAACTGGGAACCCCAGCTGGGCAGGGACCTGTCACTCATGCGCCAGGCACCCCCACCCATCGACTCAGGCTCCTCAGATCCGGGATGACACAGAGGACCCATCCCCGCTGTAGTGAGTCCCACTGAGGCCGAAGACAACAGGCCTGTGGGCACCCAGAGCTTGGGCCTCTGAGAGCTCCCCAGGCCAGAGGTCTGCCCACAGTCTGCTCTGGGGTGCACCCCTGGTTGCCGACTCCCCTGGGGCTCCTGACTCCCCCCTAGAAGCAGGAAGTCGCTGCAGGAAGCAGCAGGTGGGCTGGGGTATCTTACCGTCAGGGCCTCTGCCAAGAGGACCCCAGGGGGTTTGCTGGGACAAACATTGGGGGCCGGTGCGGATTGGGGTCTCCATGGCTGGGCCATGGGCATCAGGGGAACCGCCAGAGGTGATCTGGACTTCCTTAACCACGAGAAACATGACTCAGCTAAATTGAGGAAGATTTCCGTTTCGGCAGAGTACTTTTTCCACTACGGTAAGAGCTTTTACCCACAAGCTCCAGAGGAGCTGGGTACCCCAGAGAAGGGTTTGGGGAGTTTCGATTTGAATAGTCAATGCTGATTCTTAATCATTATTTTGAAAAGGCAGCTCTTGGTTTTCCAGCAGGTGGCTGGGTCCTGGGGAGCCAAGCCAGTGTGTGTGTGTGCGTGTGCCTGTGTGCAAGCAAGTGCATATTTGTGCTTTGAGGACGCTGGGGCCCAGGAACAGGGAGATTGACAGGAGCATTTCCCTTGGCCTGTTGGCAAGCCCTGCCCAGGTCTGCAGAAATGTCCTGGATTCTCCAGCCCTCTGAGCCTGTTGGCACGAACGGGGCTGGGGCTTCACTGGTTGAGGCTGAGTATGTGCCAGGCGGTAGGCTGGGCGCTCACCCACACCACCCCACAGCTTCGGGAGGTGAGTCCCACTGCAGATACCAGCTGAGACTCCGAGAGGAAAAAGCACCCATTGGACACCCGGCCAGATGTGAACCCAGGCAGGCTGACACCGCTGCACACCAATCTCTGCCCCCACTTGCCCTTTCTCCAGCTGCTCCCACCTCCTAACACTACCCAGAGTCCTCTGCTGTAGCAGCTGGCACCCCTGGACTCAGCGAGGGCCACAGGCTTCTCTCTAGGGGCCTTGCTCAAACGCCAGCCATTCGGCAATCAGAAGCTGGGCCTGGGCCTGGGCGCCTGGGTGGCTCAGTGGTTGAGCGTCTGCCTTTGGCTCAGGTCATGATCCTGGGGTCCTGGGATCGAGTCCCGCTCCCCCTGCAGGGAGCCTGCTTCTCCCTCTGCCTGTGTCTCAGCCTCTGTGTGTCTCTTGTGAATAAAAAAATATTTATTTATTTATCTCGCCGAGGGGATGACAGGGCGTGGGGTTCTTCTTCCCATTTCATTGCTGGCTGGACCTCACTTCTCCTAGGGGCGCCTCCACAGCCCACTTCACCCCGACTCCTGCCCTGAGCTGAACTCAGGTTCCCAACCTGGAGGTGGGGGGCGGGTTCCACAGCTGCCCGAGGGGAGGAGCCTGGCCCAGGTCTCCAGGGGTTTCGGGGGACACAGTTGAGCCTGACGAGTGTGGCTCTGCGGCCGGGGCAAGGGTTCTCCCTGGGGCCAGGACACGCGCCCCGGCTCTGTGTCCTCCCCGCGGCCCAGGCCTCCGGCCAGCCTCCAGGGGAGGAGGCAGGGCCTGCAGCCCCTCTGGGTTGCTGGCGGTTCCAGGGCAAAGGGCGAGAGGGCTGTGGCCAGAGTGGGGAAGCAGGGCAGGGAGCTGCTCTGGATGAGGGCTGGGTGGACGACCGCGGGGCTCAGCTCTGGGCCCGGCCGGCCTCTCGGGTGCTCCTTCCAGGAGACAAAATGAAAGTGTCGGGGAGAGGAGCGGCCGGGAGGCAGAATGGGGAAGGGGCCGAAATGGTCCAGGGCCAAGGCAGGGAAAGGAAGAGGAACAGAGAAAGGCAGCGCCAGAGAGCAGCCGGGCCAGAGCTCGTGTCCTCCCTGCGGGTGGGAAGCCTCCCCCAGGCCAGGCCCCGGGGTCGGGCGGGCCCTTGGAAGTGGGGGTTCCCTACTTATCACCCCTACTCCCTGCCCACACAGAAGGCCCCCACCTTCCCGGCCCCAGGGCTCACAGCAGACAGAGATCTGAGTGTGTCATGCTTGTGCCGCGTGTGTGCACATGTGCGTGTGTGTCCTCGTGTAAGCATGGTATGTACGTGTGTCTCAAGGTCTCTGTCTCTGGGACTTGCAACCAGACAGCTGGAGAGGCAGCCTGGACACCATGACAGGCCCCTCCCTGAGCCCGGCCCCATGAGGCCCATGAGGGGGCCCTGGGGAGCTCCAGGGGGCTGAGGCTCCGAGGCTCGTCCAGAGGCCCGGATGTCCTGGCTTCCCTACGGTGGAGCAGAGGAGGCGACCCCTTCTTGGGTCATCCCAAGGTAGCCCCAGGTAGACGGAGGGCCCAACGGACCAGAGACTCCTGACTCCCACCCCTCGCTCTCCAGGGGCAGCCACTCAAAGGGCTCCCACAGTGGACCACAGAGTGTTTCTTGCTTGCAAAACTCAGTGTGCGTGTGTGCGCGTGCGTGCAAGCCCAAACATCCACATTCACCCCCTTGCTGGTGAGCTCTGACCTGTCAGCTTCACCCGCTTACCCACCATCTCCTCATCCAAGACCCTCCGTGGCTCCCAAGGGCCCGAGCTCTCTGCCTGACGCCACCTGGCCTGCCCAGGCCTTCCTCACGCTCACTCATTCCTGCCTCGGGCTCCTTCCTCACCGCAGCCAGGCCGGCAGCCCCCCTGGCCCTGTTCTCCCTTCACCATTTCTCTGCAGATATCCTGCTGGGTCCCAGCTGTGCAAACCCATACTCATGTATGAGATCTGCTTTTCCCTCTGACCCTTCGCCTGTCGGCAGCCTCCCAGCCAGGTAGCCACGAGGCTCACATGCCCCTGCTGTGCCGCTTAGGAAAAAGAAAACCATTTTTCCCAGTATTTCCAGCAAAAGTCTCAGGGCTGACACCCATTGGCCATGGCCGGGGCCCGTGACCCACCTCTGGAGGCCCGGGCCCAGCAGCCCTGCCTGCAAAAACCGTGTGACCTGAGAGAGGGAGAGGGCTGGTTCCCCAAAGGAACACCAGGGTGGCCTTAGAGGAAGGAAGTGGACGCAGGCAGCCGGGAATGCAGGGGCCCACCAGAGGACGGTCCATTAGTCCCCGGGGTGGGGTGCGACGTGGGCTGTTCCTGTCGTCACTCACTCCAAGCCCCAGGGGGGTCCAGAATCCTGGAGCTGGCAAGGATAGGGTAAGTGTGCCCCCTTTTTTTTATTGTACAGATGGGGAAACTAAGGCCCAGAGAGGGCACTGGCCCAGGGTCACACAGCCAGTTAGGTCAGAGGTGGAGCTAGGACATGGAGCTTTGACAGGTGATCCTGATTGTCACCCGGGGTGCTCCACGAGGCCAAGCTGCCCACTGGAACCACTTACCTGGCCTGCCCCCCCAGAGTCTGACCCATCACACGTATCCCAGACGTCAGAGTCCACCAGAGTGACGTCAGGTCCCACTCAGGCCACGGAGGTTCAGCGCTGACGGGGCTGCGCCATCGGCAAACTCCCATCCAAGGGTGCAGGGGTAGGACCGGGCAGTGGGGGGCGGGGGGCGCAGGCTGACCCGGGGCAGGGCTCAGAGAGGCCCAAGCGTCCAGACCACTGGTCGTTGTCCCAACTCCACCACGAAGGAGGGGGCAGGAGGCCTGGACCACAAGGCCAGGAAAGGTCAAGGGGCAGAGAGGCCATGAGGGGCCCAGCGGGCTCCAGCAGGCTGAGGCCGCTTGGCCAGAGCGGCCTGTTTACTCAGAGGCCCAGGAGGTCAAGGCTCAGGCCCAGGGTTAA